GTGACACACATCACCCCAGGACAAGCCGAACGTGGACTCGTGTCCTTTCTCGAATGATTCCGTGATGGACAAATCATGAGAATCTGTAGAAACCGGTAATAGAATCAACGAGCCCCAAAGGGTCGAGTTGATTCTTCTTCCGGAATGAACAGATTCGAGTGATTGTTTTCCGACTTAAATCATGGTATGGTTGATATAATTTCTCTATTTTGCATAATGTTTTTGCTTTTCATCTTTAGAGTTTAAATATTGGCGTATAAACCCTGAGAACAACTTCAAATAAGAATGATAACTATATTTATGTTTGAGTCCAGTTGTACTCATAAAGTGTTACAGTTGTACTGACATCTTCTTGTTGTGAAAACGATGCAACCTCTCTATAAAAAGAAACATTTTGTTATAGAATAGAGCCAGGTACTTTCTTTTAACGTCTTTAGGTATGGCGCGAGCGGGGATCGAGCCGTCTCAAATGTTTTTTTGTGTACATGGTGTGCGGAGCCTTGTAACGCTTTGATGATGTTTGTAATGTTTTGGTCAAGTCCACGTTTGCAGTGTATCCTTTCTTTTGCCCGGCAGTTTGTGTTAGTCTAGGGAGAGCCAAGCTTAAGGTATATCACTATATGTTTGCCCAGCCTAAGTAAGGGTAGCCACGTTTAGCTAGCTATCAATCCTTGGCAGAGGATCTCAATTTTGTTCTTTGGTCACAAAAATATTGGTTGATCCAGAAAGTTCTTTCTTACAGAATTTCCCATTAACTTGTCCTGTAGCAGATTCAAACAAAGACCTGCATCGCGAATATTAGATTCTGACGCGCACTTACATAACGCACACGCAGGTAAATACATGTACGCATTCACACATACATACACGCACATAAACACGCCATACATGTTATTTCAAAGATATGTCAAGGTGAGTCCAACTAAACTATACACATGAGTGAGATAGGATCAAGACCTATATCACTCCGGGTTTTCCACCCACATCAAGCTGACACACCGTGATAAAACTGGAATACTGTTCAAAGCTGCATGAAACCCAACATTCACTCTTCTTCATAACCACAGCACATTTGCATAGCATATTCTCAAAGGATAATGTAGCTTTGGTCATATATACCCACAGCAGGACATAAATAATAATAAAAATAATATTAATAAACTTGTATTGTGCACTTTTGCACTCATTTACTTGCCTGATGATCTTTTTGTGAAGCATATCAAGACTCATGATGAAAACAAGGCATTCCACAGTTTTCTTAAACGAGCTAAGTATGTAGGACATAATCTCAATGTCACTGTTGATTTTGTTGATTGTTCTGTACTACTGGGCGGTACAGAAATTAGTGTGAACCAAGCGAAGTGCCATATCAAAATCAGTTTTTCAAGGAGAGGCTATCTGAACGACCGCTGCATCGAGTTTATGTGCAATGTGAGTGAGTGAGTGAATATGGTTTTACGCCGCTTTTAGCAATATTCCAGCAATATCACGCTTTAACCACTAGGCTACCCGACCGCCCCTATGTGCAATGTGTTGAGAAGTCCTTCGCTTGGATGAAGGCGGCTGGCGGCTGGCCTGAAAAATGAAACAGAAGGCTTTCTGTTTGCTGCTCAAGACCAGTCACTTCCCACTCGAAACCGTCAATGTGTGATTTTGCATCAAAATGTAAATATACTCAACAACAAAAGTTCCTGTGACACCAATATTTTAGTGTATTTTTCAAACAAGTAAAGTTTGGTTTTCAATATTGTAGTACATGTATGGAATCATGTCATAAAAACGCAACTGCTACAAAAAAGCATGCATTCCATGCAAAAGTTGACTTTTATGCAAGCCCCATGCATTTCACTACCCAAGAATGGGTATAAAAACATGTGCGTTAACGGGATTCCATATGCATTGTTTGGCATCGTGCTGACAACAACCACTCAGAAAAACAACAAAATTACGCAATTATTCAACATTACGAAATGCCACGCCTGTCCCAAAATGAGCGTCTGCGAGCCATTGGTATGCTTGAAGCAGGATCGAGTCAACGTGATGTTGTAAGACAATTTAACATCCACAGAAACACCATTTGGTGTTTATGGCAACGTTGGCAACAGACGAATGCAGTCAGATACCATCCTCGGAGTGGCAGGCCACGCGTAACCAATAATCGACAAGACAACTGGATTCGAACAACACACCTACGAAATCGATTCCAGCCAGCAACAGTGACTGCAAGAAGCATCTCTGGCCTTGGAAGAATATCTTCACAAACCGTACGTCGTCGCCTCAGATGTGCAGGGATTGTCGCAAGAAGACCCGCCAGACGTCCCATTTTGACGGGAAACCTCCGTAAAGCTCGTCTACAGTGGTGCAGACAGCGTCTACGTTGGACGGCCATGCAGTGGGGACAAGTTCTATTCACTGACGAGTCTCGTTTTCCCCTCAGCCACAGCGATGGACGGATTCCAGTGTACCGACGTCGAGGTGAACGTTACGTCAATCATTGTGTCATGGAAGTAGATCGGTTCGGGGGCGGCAGCGTTATGGTATGGGGGGGATTACAGCAGGACAGAGGACCCGTTTGATAGTGGTAGAGGGAAATCTCAATGGACGGTGCTACCGCGACGAGATCATCTGTTGTTCTACCGTTTTTACGTCGTCATGGCCCAGGCATTACCTATAAACATGACAACGCCCGGCCTCATATTGCTCAACTTGTTCAGGATTCTCTTCAACAAAAACAACGTGAATGTCATCCCCTGTTCGGCTCGCTCCCCTGATCTCTCACCAATCGAGCACATGTGGGATGAGATGGATCGACGTCAACCACGTGTTCCACAGACACTCCAGGAACTTCGAAACATGCTCCAGCAGATATGGACAGATATCCCACAGGACTTTGTGCGACGCCTGGTCCATTCCATGAGACGAAGATGTGTTGCTTGCATCGCAACCAGAGGTGGACACACACGCTATTGATTTGTAAATTGACATTTTGGCATGTTCATGGTGGGTTTTTTTATGAAATCACGCATTTTCGCAAAGTTTGTGGTTTTGATACACCCATGGTACGACCCGGAATATGTAGAGGGCGGGTCATAGAAAAGGATAAATACAAAATTCTTTGGAATAGGTCCGTTCACAGCCTCAGACGTATCCAAGCCAACAAACCTGATCTTGTCTTTTTTGATAAATCCAATCATTAATCATTTCTATCATTGACGTTTCTGACTCTTTTGACACTAATGTGATTGACAAGATTCAGGAAAAACATGGCAAATATGCGTACCTCGCTTTCGGAATGTCACGTTTGCATCCCAAGTACCAAGTTGTCCGACTCGGGTTTGCTACCAGGAATACAGCCCTTCTTACAATCTGGATAATGCAGAAGGCTGCAGTGTTGGGGAGTCTGAGTGGGTTTGACAAGGCAGCGCTTCATGGGAGGAGTCCCATTCGCAATCTGGGCTGCGTGTCGAGGGGGCAAGGGCCTTGAGCTGATGATGAGCTTAACCAGCCTGACTGTTCCAGGATCACCCAAACTCTCTTTTCTGCATTTTTCATCACATGTCTTGACTGACTAGTGAAGCGTGATATTATCTAAATGCATATTTCGGTCAAAGAGTAAGTCACGCCCTGATTTTATCCCTTTTAAATTACTGGACACGTAAAGCCATATTGAAAACCCATTTGTATGCTCTTTACTCAAAATGTAATGACGTTTAGAGTGTAGTAGTCGGATTCAACATAAACATATATATCCCGTTTTTGGTTATATTATATATTTTGACATTTGCATTTTCGGGTGTGTAAATACCATCCTCTGTCGGATTGTGGAAGCGATATTTTGGCATGTATGCTTCTTCATTTGATGACATCATACTTTCAAATCATTCGAATTTCATTTATTTTATTTTGCCGAAAACATTAAAAGATGCAAATGTCACAAAAAAGGTTTTGTTCACAACCACGAGGTTTAGATAGCTGAACCTTTGAGAGCATGATAATGACAAACGAAAAATTCAAGGCATAATGAAATGCTTTAACTTCGGTAGACACAGGCGATGTTGCAAAAACAAGTTTTTTCTCTACTTTGCTTAGAAATATTCAAAGAAGAGAGCAAGAATAGTGGAGTCATAAAAGTGTATGAATTGGTTTCCCTGTGAACATGCGGCATGAGTTCGGGAATTGTTTTGCCTACATAGTTGGATCAATAGAACATGCATTGCTTTGCTGATATAGTTTGCTCATGAGTGAAGGAACTGTTTTGCCTATATAGCTGTGTCGTGAGTGCAGAAACTTCATTGTCCATATTAGGTCATGAGGGCAGTATTTGACCCCTAGATGTCGTGGCAGAGCAGGAGCTGCTGAAGAGTCAATCTAATGTTTGTTTGTTTGTTTGTTTAACGCCGCACTCAGCAAAATTCCAGTTATATGGCGGCGGTCTGTAAATAATAGCGTATGGGCCAGACAATCCAGTGATTGACATCATGAACATCGATCCACGCAAATGAGATAGGATGACATGTATCAACCAAGTCAGCGACTCTGACCATCCAATCTCGTTAGTCGCCTCTTATGACAAGCATAGTCACTTTTTACGGCAAGCATGGGTTGCTGAAGACCTATTCCACCCCGGATCTGTCGATCTCATGATCCACGGTACTGGCTTTCCCATGCTCCAGTACAAGTACACATTGTTCCGCCTTGCTTTCCTATTCATGTTTGTGGGGCGGTCGGGTAGCCTAGTGGTTAAAGCGTTCGCTCGTCACGCCGAAGACCCGGGTTCGATTCCCGACATGGGTACAATGTGTGTAGCCCATTTCTGGTGTCCCTCGCCGTGATATTGCTGGAATATTGCTAAAAACTGCGTAAAACCATACTCACTCACTCACGAATTATGTTTGTCTTTTTCGCTGTCGAGGTATGAGGCTACTGTAATTTCAGCAACAGTGCCCCCAGGAATAAAGATGACAGTCTCTGAGCAAATTTTATTTGAATATAAGTTTGAAGGAAATATTTTTTATAAAACAAGTTATGATAAGACCATGTCTTTTCTGTAAAATATGATTATGAGAACAAAAAAACATATGCAAAGTGCAAAAGTTAATGTCAAACATATACTAGTCTAAAGTATAAACATATAAAAACAGTGTACTGTGCACAGGAAGGCAGTAAATACCTCGGATGCGATTGTCTAGCAACCTGTACTTATTATGCTGCCTGAGACGTCATGATAACGATAATGATTAAGTCAAATGTAAATCGTTTACGTCAATATGACGGCGATCGTAGATAACCGATTCTGAACCAGATAAACCGTTGATTGATATTTTAAGTCCCACGTACGCCTTCGGGATTATTCCTGCTCGGGCATCTACTCATAACACATACTCACAGGCATACAGTAAACTACGGTTATAACGAACACGCTTATAACGAACTAACGGATATAACGAACTAACTTTTTAGTCCCGACTATATGCTATAGTTATGCTGTATATATGCTGATAACGAATTACGGTTATAACGAACTAAAATTGGTAGTCCCTTTGAGTTCGTTATAACCGTAGTTTACTGTAGTTCAAAAGTAGGGAAACAGTACATATTAAATTACTGGATACTCTCGTATTTCCTTTGCCTCAGGTTGTATCATATCTAAATATGATGAGTGAGCGACTTAACATTTTACATCGCATCGGCAATATTGCGATGAAAACAAGTTAATTATTTGATAATACCTATCGACAAAAACAGTAAAACAGTATGCCACTGGCAACCAAAGCTAGAGCACCTTACTGGGGATCACACAAAATATGATGAGGTGATTCTAATTCACATTCTGCCCAGCATTATAATGTTCTTATCACAAGATATGTAGAAATGTCTTGTAAATAGAGCTTTGAAAGGTAAAGGAACTTTGAGATGTGACATTTTCCTTCACCCAAATACATGTTCAAACATCATAATCTTCTGTTATACCCTGAGTGGTTTGTTGCATACTGGGGAGTTGGGATTTTACCTACAAATATATTTTCCCAGAAAATCCTTAAAACCACAATTATGCTACAGACTGTTGAGATAAAGAGACATACAGCTACAAAGACGATGCCAGGAGTAGAAAGGTTTCAAACTAAACACTACAATTAGTGGTCAGTTGAAACACGAGAAACATTTTGATTCTAATGGAGTGAAAATTTTGTCTTGAGATCCAAGAGGACCTTCCTTGGATCCTTGCTTTGCAAATTTGAAACACAATGTCGATACGAAAGCTTTTTCCTGCCTTCTCTGCACGTTTGGCAGTGTGGGTCGTCATCCATGTGTGTCAGCCAAGCGATTCGGACATGCTTCTCTTTCAAATTGTTGGGTAAACTTTTCAAATACTTGCTGATGTCTTGTTGGCTTCCACCAGTAAAGATACCACGAAGGTTAGTTAATAGGGGCGTCTTCTTTGGCTCCCCAACATAAATTATTTTTCCCTTCCATAGGATTGTAAACACGCCGCGTTGAGTTTTTGTAAGTTTCTCTTGAAGATGATAATATGTGACGCCAGCATCCACAAATAACGTCTTACAACGTTTCTGAAACATTAAAGTTAAATTTTAAAAGTGCAGCTGATAGAAACCTGTTCAATCAAGTCAATTTCATCCCCCATTCCATAGGTTTGTGGTGTAACAACAAATAACCTACGTATGCACGTGCTTATGTTCAAAGCCTCGGTCGCAGCTAAGATAGTTATCATGTTCTCCATCCATTACTGATGCTTACAGAATATAAACCATACAGAAAAGGTTACATTAAAATGAAACCTCACGAATGACAAACTAACTTCTAAAACTTTCTAAGTTAACTGGGTTGAAATGATACCTGGATTACTGTACGTGATGTACCCTGGTGATTTCGTGAGCCAGTGGGCGACTCATTTCGCCTGGAGGTACTTGGCTGGGCTCTTCTCGACGGACCGCGTGGTGGTCGGTCATCACTCCGCCCCGAAGATCCTGCCCCCTCCTCCCCTGGTTCTATCTTGATGATGAGTTCAGGTCGAGGTTCCACCCTCTCATGATGAGCCGCCGGACACCCGCAATATGTACAGTTGTGTCTGAGGACAGGCTGGGAATACTGAGGACAGTCCTCGGGGCAGTCTCGACACTTACCCCGAACAACTCCGTGCTTGTCTCGGTTGATGTCCGTGAACGTTGCCATGTCTGAAACGTGACCAAATACAATAGGTTTTGCTGTTTGTTAGACATCACGACTCGAAGTCGTACAGAAAAAAAAAAAGTTTTAAAAAAGATGCCATCATGTAGCTGGACTATAGCTGGGCTGAATGCAGCTTTATACAACAAATAACATTAATACTTAAATTTACCCTAAACAATATTGTCATTTAGAAATGTAACCGAGTAAAATGCTGTTTCAACCAGTCAGCAATATTATGGCGATAACGGCCTGTGGCCTGTTCCCAATCATGAATGAGTGAGTGAGTGAGTATGGCTTTACGCCGCTTTTAGCAATATTCCAGCAATATCACGGCGGGGGACACCAGAAATGGGCTTCACACATTGTACTCATGTCGGGAATCGAACCCGGGTCTTCGGCGTGACGAGCGAACGCTTTAACCACTAGGCTACCCGACCGCCCCGTTCCCAATCATGCCAGGTCCGGACAAACTAATGGACGACAGCACGCATAATGAATCACACAATATGACTGCCATGACGAAATCACCAATGTTACACAATATAACACATTTCGTAAGTGTATGTGTTCGAGACAGGTTATTGTTTTGGTCACTTATTATTATATAAAAAATAAATCTTTTAAACCAATACAAATGGTCTGTCGTTCGCTCGTCACGTTGAAGCTCTTTGTTCGATTCCCCACATGGGTACAATGTGTGGAGCCTATGTCTGGTGTCTATCGCCGTGATATTGCTAAAAGCGACGTTAAACTCAATTCACTCACTCACTCACTTTCATGGGCTGCCTGGCTATATTAATAACCAAACTTGTCAGTAAACGTGACGACAACCCTTCTGATGCCATGTCAAATATATGACCTCAAAAATAAAGAAGTTAATCTTCCTTTTGACGATATCTTTATTCAGCTCAACCAAGTCATATGAAAATAATAGGTGAGACAAAGAAACAGTAATTAACCACAACTTATGCAAATGAGAATACATTTGCCCTATTCAAATTCAAAATGTTCGCAAAGTATCCTTTACTCCGATTTTTCGATTTCATGAGTATCCATTTTGTGATCATCTGGGCCAGATTCAGAACAAGAACCGACTCGCTTTGGTCGCGCGATGAAGGCATGGCCCTGCATGTTGTACATTGGCTTTCTTCCTTCCATTCTTTCAAAACACTTAAGGTAGCTACAATTACAGGCATGTTTGATGTTAATATCAAGCCAAAACACTGTTATAAATTCCTCTTTGTATTCTTCGTGTAGGGTGCTTAGATATGCTCCAATGTGTTGTTTGTCCATTCCTTTGAAATGTCTCCTCAGTGCTCTTCTGATTGATGCACTTTCGGCATTGCCCACATAGATTGTCCGACCATTCTCAGCAATTTTGTATGAGCCATTTAGTGCCTATCTACGTTCTCCCACCCCTGTCACTCACACTGTCGCCGATACCAACAAGTGAGGTGAGGTGGGTTTAACGTCGCGTCCAAGATTATTGCACTTATATAGCGACGTGCATGCACGCGTGTGTGTGTGTGTGTGTGTGTGGCTGGTTGTACTGGTCCGGACTGATGCCGATTTATAGTGCAAGCTCACTGAGATACCATGCCGCAGTTTAACATGAATACCCCACTCAGACACAGCATACTTACTCCGAGCCGACCAGTCCTTGTTTTAGCCCCTTAATGCCGAGCGCCAGACAGGGTAACAACAAGTTCCATCTTTTAACGATAAGAGCAATTATACATAAACACTGAATAAACATGTCTTACCTGTGTGGAACGTGAGGGGTGTATTTGGGTTCTGAAATAGGAATCTAGGATGTCTGCACACTGCGTCTCCTGCACCCGGTTGTAAGACTGTGCACCTGACCTACATATAGGCGTCAGTGTTCTGGGAAATCTACTTTCTCTTCCGTTGTGATAAATTCTTAGTAGTGCAGCCCTGCATAACGACAATTAAATCAGTCCTCAACAGAGGTATGCCGTCAACAACAGCCACCCTGTGATATAAGGGTCGAAGAGTGAGTGAGTTAAAAGTTTACGTCACATCGGCAGTATTTCAGCCATATCCTGACGAGAACAGCCCTGCATAACGACAATCAGTCCTTAACGTGTGTGTGTGTGTGTGTGTGTGTGTGTGTGTGTGTGTGTGTGTGTGTGTGTGTGTGTGTGTGTGTGTGTGTGTGTGTGTGTGTGTGTGTGTGTTTCTACTTGCTTGAACAAGTTCGAATTAATGTCGTATAATAGTGCGCTAAATGTCAGCAATTATGAATGAGGGATTTAGAACGGATGATATATAATGTAAGGAGGAGTAATCATAGAATGATTCATCTGAGCGATTCAGTGTTATGAAACAAGCTGTATAATGTCACCGTGACCCTGATAACACACAGTCGGCCCCTGCCAGCATTCTTAGCATGCAGCTGAAACCCACACTTTTTAGGGTCAACTGTTATTGAACGTTATTTCACACGCACACTTTATTCTAGAGAGATTTTTTTACTTTTGGAATGTTGAAACTTTAATAATTGTAGTAAACACTACATTTCCGATCAGCATTGTTATTAAGTGAGACAGTGAGTTGGGTTTAACGCCGCTTTGAACAATATTCCAGTCATATCACGGCGTGTCAGCTTAATGTTGGAGGAAAGGCTGAAGTGCTGCTGGTCACAGACGTTTACCACTTTTGTCAAACGGTAATGGGTTTGGTGCTAGATAAACTAGAAACATAATTGAACACACCGGTATTCGAACCCAAAATCATAGGTTTCTGGCATACCCAAGGGACGCAACTCAACACAGCGAATTGTGGCGACTAAGACGACTGGGTCACCCGTGCCCCCATTATTATTAATGTTTATTATGTGTTAATATGTAATGTTTATCAAGTCTTGTTTTCAGCAATATAAGTCAAGGTTGTGACTTTATTACAGTTATGAAGTAATGGGGTATCAATTGTATGGCGGCCCAGTCTTCCAACGCGCCGCAATGCGCTGTGCAGAGTAGTGGGTCTTTGGAGCGTATCGTTCATGATCGTTTGTTCGAATCCCGTGGTCGTGGACTGCACTAAACGTTTAAGACCTGCATCACTTCGGGCTTTACTACCACTCGTTGGAACGCCATGAAATAACTGAAATATTGTTCAAAGCGGCGTTAAAGCAGACTCACTCACCCACTCGCTCAATACATTAATGTACACTTTCCATTTCAGCACAGTCATGAATAACCGTGGTGTGTTGCCTGGGACGAATGACTCTGGAAAGCCACAGGTGCATCCTCTCTACAACTCACACAACATAAAGCTGTACTCACACTTCATACCAGTGTATGTCCAGCACCCATGGCCGACTAATCTGGAGCTGGTTGAACCGGAACCGAGCCAGGTCTCGACATCTCGTACGAGTTTGCACGGTTCAATCCAACAGACAAAGGTTGTTGCTCATGTTCGAAACAGCTCTGTTCCTCGAGAAAAACCAAGAGATCACACACAGAGAAATGACTGTCCGCCTCCTGCAGCACATGGGGTATTGCATTGCCAGGACGAACAGGGAACAAAGGTTGTTGCACATGTTCGAAACAGCTCTGTTCCTCGAGAAAAACCAAGAGATCACACACAGAGGAATGATTGTCCGCCTCCTGCAGCACATGGGGTATTGCATTGCCAGGACGAACAGGGAACTGCTGAGACAGCACTGGGGCTGATAGCTAGTGCTTCTGATGACGTTACGTCGCAACCTGAAACAAATACCAAACAAGAGTGTGAACGTTTAAAGGACTTCCAGACACCGTGCATTAATAAAGGACAAGATATGGACACAGAGAGATCTTCGAAGACAGAGCGGCCATTGAATAGAAAACAAGACAAACAGGCTATGGTGCCAAAAACAGTCCGCATGTCGATACCCTTGATTGCCGTAAGTAGTTTTAATGAATGAAGTGGTATGGCTTTACGCCACTTTTAGCAATATTCCAGCAATATATCACGACGGGGAACAACGGAAATGGGATTCACACATTGGACCCATATGGGGAATCGAACCGGGCCTTCGGCGTAACGAAGTAATAGGAGTGACTGAGTGAGTGAGTTGGGTTTAACGCCGACAGTTATATCGCGGCGTCTCGGCTTAATGTAGGAGGAAAGCCCGAGGTGATGCAGGTCTTAGACGTTTACCACTTCGGTGAAACCCACGAGCACGGGTATGGTGCTGACAAACCTAGAAACATAATCGGGGCGAACCGGGATTCGAACCCACAATCATAGGTTTCTGGCGTGCCCAAGGGACGCAACTCTGCTGCACAGCGGATCGCGGCGCCTTAGACGACTGGGCCACCCGTGCCCCAAGAAGTAATAGGAATGTTTCATGAACAATATTAGTTAATTTACCATTGATTTCATTTCGTAATCAACTCGTCATGAACACCAACAATGTGCCTCTTGTCTATGTCATAGTCGCCTAAGGCGCTGAAATTCCTTAAGCGTGCCAGAAAACTATGATCGTGGGTTTGAATCTAGATTCTCCTGATTATGTTCCTAGGATTGTCAAATTCGTAAACATCCAAGACCTGCATCACTTCGGGCTTTCCTCCCATGTCAAACTGACACCCCGTGATAAGACAGGAATACTGTTCAAAGCGGTGTTGAACCAAACTCACCCACTCACTCATAATGTTTTACTGGCTCGCTTACTGACTTGTATTGAGGTGTTACCAAAATACTGCTTTTTATTCCAGATGAAACCATGTAAGCTGTTGCACAGAGGTCATGTACCATACTCAGTCATCGTGCGGACGACGCGCAGGCCAAGTGGTGTGTACAAGATAGCCTACAAGTGGGAAACTATCTATGTCAGTTCGCCAACAAGCAATATCATCAAGGAGCTTCGGAAACAGTTCAGTGGTGATGGCAAGCAGGAGATAGTAAAGTTCTTGCTGAATCTTACCAAGGAGGAACTTGAGCTGGTGTCAGTGTTCTGGCTTAATGAGAGCATACACGTCCATCACTGTGGAAGGTCCTACCTGGAATGTATTAGAGACCTGCAGGGAAAGAAACCAATGCTTAACGACATACAACCGATTCTCTGCTCAATGACAAATGCCGGTGTGACAGTTATCAATAATGAATCCAAAACTTCAAAAGATGATAGAGAACAATCACAGCATGTATCTATCCTACCTAGCCATGCTACTGAAGATCCAGACAGATATAGCCCTTTAGATGATCATAGTGCACCTACATTCCGCTTGATGCCGAGAAAGAGACCTGCGTGTGATGATGGAGAGAAATCACAGTTTCATACCGATGCAAAGAAAATAAAGTATGATCAAAATGGACAACTGTCAAGGCATCTTCCGACAAAGAGTCCCAAGGACATTCCCATCTGTCGACGTCAAACAACCTTATCTTCTTCAGCCACAGTGCCGAGTACAGTAATGAACTTGAATATGAAAATAACTGAGATGTCACTGAGCAATGTTTCTACAATACCAGCCTTGGCCGTCTCATCCGGACGAAGATCTCAACCAATACGACCTTCTGAAGATAAGTCAATGAACCTTCAAAACTTTCATGAAAATCAGACAACCCATGATGTGCTTCAGCAGTTAGGTATTTCTCCCCGGTCACCAGAATTTGAAGCCAGGACCGAAAATGATAATATTGGGAAAGTGACTGGACATGCTGTACCAACGAACATCATTAGAAAAGATAAAAGAGTAGATGCGACACTTTCAACTGTCACTAAAGAGTACCAACCTGCCTGTCCTTCCACAATACAGGTAAATAAATATTCCCCAAAGAAGCTACAACGACAGAGCATCAGAAGAAAATGTAAATCTCCCAGTAAAGAGACATTAAGAGATCACTCAACGGTTCTAGGGAAACATTCACAGACAGGATCCCCTTGTTTCGAACCATCCTCTGCAGAGAAGGGCCAGAAACACACTGTCGGTTCTGTACATTCTCAACACACAAAAATAACACCTCGATATGAGCTTATGCAGCCTGAGAAGAGAACGAGGGGCAATGTCTATTCAGATCAAGAACAGAAAGTATCAACAACAAGTGGAAATGACCCTACCAAGAACAAGAAAATGACTCCAGTGTCTTCCGAATCAATTTCCGATAACAGTTTTGCAAACAAACCGTCTGTGGTCACGCCTAATGCTGTAAACCAGAAACCAGAACTAAATGTGTCCAAACTGTTGGAGAGAATGTTAAAAGCTGCACCAACCCAACAGAACCCACCAAACTTTCTTGGTCAGACAAAAACGCCTGGTGAAGGTAGAGGCTGTAAAACCAAGAATCCACAGTACAAAGGCCGAGGCTCCCATACTGGAAAGACTTTGGTTTGTGAGTCCATTGTCTCCAGTACGCAAACATATTCCTCAATCCAACACTCTCAGACAAAAGTTAGAAACAAAACATCCGGAGAAACACGTAAAATCAGGGCACGACAATTGCTTACGAAAGGCACAGATTCAACGCAAGGTGTTGGGGTATTCTCAGTGCTCAAGATCTTTGGCTCGAAAGTTTTGAATATGATGAACCCATTTGTAACTTCAAACGATGGTCAGTAGGGTTGCAAACGCTCAAACAACACTGAGCTTATACACTGCTTTAAACATGAGTGCAGTTGATGCGCGGCAGCAGCCCAAACTGATGTACTCTGTCGGACAAAAGAAAGTATTCACCCGAGGTTGATGATGAATAAAACAAACAGGAAATGGTCATTCGATGGTGATGTGTTTGATACAGGTATCACAGTAAACTGTTGTGTTTTAGACCTTACGTCTGCAGTGCCGCTATTCGCTGTGCAGATTGGGTCCCTTGGGCACTCCAGAAACCTATGATTGAGGTTTCGAATCCCGGTTCGCCCCAATTATGTTTCTAGGTTTGTTAGCACCATACCCGTGTTCGTTGGTTTCACCGAAGTGAT